TGGCCATTCTTTTTTTTTTTTTAGCACAATCACATGGTGTTTTTATTTTTGAGTATGATCTTATTGAATGTCCCAAAAGTAAAGTAAAAAGGAGAATAAACACAATAGAAAAAAGAAGGCAAAGGTGGTATCTTGAGAAGAAAATTTACACAATCCCATAAATTGATATCATATGAAAGCATCATAGATAAATGCAATAAGGAAGTTACTTGGCCTTGGAAACAAAATGAGCTTCTTCATCGGACCGGTCATTCAATTCCTTCCTCCAGAGTTGTCTCATAGATAAACTAATCGACATCAAGAACATTCTTAAATGTGTTGACGAAAAGTACCATCATTTCGAACTATCAAGCACCGACTCGAATCGCATGACTTGGTTTTAGCATTGGCTTTATCTACCTCTAAAATGTTCACTACCATATCATATGTTGGTTAGCTCAAACTCGAGTCTTACCTATGCAAATCAATAATGTATGAAGACTTCTCTTATTTCTTTTCCTTTTTTCTACCCTCGAGGCGCCGTGAACTAGTATGGCTTGTACCTCTTGATGAAATTCAAGGCAATTATCAACATCATGTCCTCTCTCTTTGTGAAACTTATAGAAGGACTCGACATGAATAGGAGCTTGAGACTTGGTTGGTTACTTGTTAATGTTGATAGCGAGATAAAAAACCAAACAAATAAGACATGTAAATTTCGAACTATCCTTTTGTTGTCACACCTAATGTCATCCAAGGAAAAGTCTTTGACATATGCGAATAATTCAACTGATTGGCTATTTGGATTGAAATTGGATTCCCTAATTTGATGGACATTGATGTCATCTCCTTTATCAAAGTGATTCTTCTTTGTTCTAGATTTAAATCTTTTACCAAAGTTGTTCTTCTTTGACCCAGATTAAAAGGATCGGCTACGTACGATGTACTTGAAGAGTTTTGGCATTTTGAATTTCTCAAGAATCATGATATTCAAGGTCAAGTGTCTACCTATTATCAAAAGAGGGTCGCACATATCCATGCACTTAACGGTTATGAGACATTCCTCAATGGCACTAAAATTCTCAATTTCAATCTCTAAGCTCAATTTTCCTTTCAACTTTTCGTTAATAGCCAAATCAACCATAAGAATTGCTCGAGTTTGTAAAGTATGTGGCTATCATGGAATTGAACAAGAGACTTCGGGATGGGCCGGATCATACATGCCCCCAAGTGCGGTGTGACTACTTAGATTCAAAATGTTGATAGTCTCTTAGTAGGAAGCGAGAGAAGGGTGGCACAAAAATCACCACTCAAGTAGTGGATACTGGTATGGCATTGAAGACCTTGGAGATAGTAGATGGACTAGAAGGCATTTCGGTAGATGCATGAGTTTACGACCTTTGTTTAAGTAAAACAGACTAGCCTAAACACTTTTACTTTTGAAGCACTTAACTCCGTTTGATGGCTTTGTTCGAGTTCAACCCTTTATTCATTGCCTATTCTTACATTGACTTGAGTTGTCAAGTTTTGAGGGAAAACACGGTTTTGACGGGATAACTTATGCTTTCTTAGGTAAATAGCAAAATACAACCACATAAATAATATTAACATGAAATAAAGACACTCGACTTGGATATGGAGTAGTCATCTGTAGAGGGTGATAAAAGAGTTCCTTCTTTTTGTTTGTTCACCTATGAGATTACTTACGGTAGGTTTAATGATATGATTATTCATATCGGTAACTTTCGATGCTTGGTCGATGCTTGCTTGAACCGAGTTTGAACTCTTTTGTCACCCATTATGAAACATCATGATTGAATTATTTTAGTCAAGGTTTTAAACATATCCGACTTGCCCGAGTGTGTTTAAATAAGGAGAGATGACCCTAAGGTTTAGTTCTAGTCATTACATGAGGAGGGTAAGCTCTATCTAAGTCTTAAAAAGGTACCTTCCAACCTAGTGAGTCTTTAGTAGAATCAATAAGACTCGTCCATGGCGACATTAGCAATCGTGAAAAATTATCGATTAGCCATCACGGATGGTTGCTAGCAAGAAGGCTTAAGGTTTCATGAGTGTTTACCCGAGGCGAAACCCATCGGGGCATCACTACTAACTCCCTAGATTCCGAGGCAAATGCGGATGATAGTTAAAATTATGTAGTGTAGTGTGTGAGGGCATGATTCCATATCCAATCTCAAAAATGCTAACTAAAAGGCTAGAAATTAAACAACCAAAGCTACAAGGAAAAATAACACAAATAACACACATATATACGGATACATTTTTGCCACAAAAAAAGAAAAAAACAAATAAATAAATGGCAATAACTCACTAAAAAAAATAAATTGGCATAGAGGCATAACAAATGATCGGAGATTCAAAACACGGACATTTAAAGCTTGACCACTAGCACGACAAGTCCCTAATGGAGTTGCCAATTTTGTCGATGTTGGCCACCGCGAGGGAGGGGCTGAAATAAAAGAGTCACCACCTAGTTAATCGAGAAAAACTAAGAAACCGTAAACATACTAATCTACATGGATATTTGGATAAGGGGTAGGTTACGTATGGGGAAGGCATGTCGTCACAACCATCCCGTCCTACTTAAGGTAGGCTACATTGTTTGTCTATGAATATAAAAAATCTAACTTTTATCATGTTATGCTTTTATGCCTATTTAAATGAGTTTATTTTATAAAATATGGGACATGATGGTTTGGGTAAAACATGACGAGTTTGGACGTTCAAGCTAGTCCAAGGCTAATACGTCCTACCCAAATGGGAAAAAGGTGAAAATTTAAAATTTTGATTAGTCATTAGCGAACACGACCTATTATTAACAATAGGCAAGCTTCTAAAGATAAATAGCCTTTTATTGGCATGAGCTACGAGTCATCGGTGACTTTGCTCACATAAGTGGAAAGCCACCGACGACTTCGGGTCACACGTTTAAGAAGCTATCATAATTTCATCATAGAAGTGAAAAGTTATTGATAATTTCATGTCACTCTAGCGAGGAGTAGATAACTATCTAGAAGCTATCGGCGGCTTCGTCACATAAGTGAAAAGCCACCGACAACTTCATCTCAAATAAATTGGCATTAAATGGAAAAAATTATTTTTGAAGCCACTTGGTAGCTTCATCACATAAGTGGAAAGCCACTAACAGACTTCATTTTGATGAAATAGGCGAGTAAAACATAAAAAATAGAAATCGAGAAACAATAAAACAAAAATCAAGAAAAATGAGGATTAGACACTAGGCAAAATGATTTTGAAACCACTAACGACTTTATTGTAGCATTGCAAACAATCATGAAAGTTCAATTGAAGCACAAAAATTGAGAGAAAATATGATATTTGGACGGACATGTATAAGAACGAGAAAACATGGCATACTTGTTCCTTAATGATCTTCGTAGTAATGTTTCATTTTGACCACATTTATTTCATAAATGTTATGCTAACTCGTCACAATTTTAACCACATTCCAAAGCACATAGTTATTTTTCAAACATTTATCATGCTTTTAGAAATGTCATGTTTTAAGATTTTTACCCAAAAATTTTTGAAGTGTCGATGTTAGATTCGCAGTCATCCTACCTTCTTCATTCCTAATGATAATCGAATATTTGATTAGCCGGAAAAGGAGGGTAACTTCTGGTCAAGAATTTAGGGTGTGAGTGTTGCTAAAGTGATAAAAAACCCTCTCGTTACTCGGGTGGATACTCCAAAATTACTACAAAATTTACGAGTTCCCGAAAGCCAATGTAACTCTTTTTGCTTATTTTCATGTAAAAAAGAATCAACCAAATACAACCTACAACATCATGTTGTGGCTACCAACAATCTAACACAAGAGAATCTTTTAGCCTTTTTTTATAATAATTTTTATTTCTCTTTTTTCGGGAACTCAAAAAAAAAAAAAAGTGTTCGAGGGTTCGTTTTAAAGAAGGTTTTATGGCTATTTTTGTGGGTTTTTTGGGAGGTTTTTTGGATGGAATTGAGGCTGGATTGGGGTGGTTTTAGTGGCTACTTTGGTGACTTAAATGGGCTATCCAAAAGTGGTTTTTACTTGTAAGTTTCTTTGGAGGTCTGTTGGGGTCAGTTTCGGGGTTGCAAAGCCTCGTTGTTAGTAGCTATTTTGGGTTTGGTTTTTGGGACCATTTTTGGGGGTTTATTGGGGCTATCTTGAATCTGGTTTAAGGTTGTTTTTGGGTATTCTTTGGTGGTTTAAATGGGCTGCCCGAAGGTTTTTTCTCGTAACGATTTTTGAGGTCGTTGGTAATGATTGCACGGTTCTAAAGTGTCGTTGTTGGTGGCTATTTTAGGGTCCGGTTTTTGGGTCGTTTTGGGATTTTTTTGGGGATATATTAAATCTGGCTTGGGGGTGTTTTAGTGGCTATTTTGGTGGTTTAAGGGGGTTGTTCGAATGGGTTTTCTCGTAAGGGTTTTTTGGGGCTATTGATAATGGTTGCGGGGTTGATTTTCGAGGGTTTTTAGTGGGTTTTTTAGGTCTGTTTGGGGTTGGTTTTAGGGATAATTTTGCGAGGGGTCATGTCTGGAATTTTCTTCCTTTGTGAGAAATTTCTTCCAGCTCGTTCGATCATAATTTTGACCATTAAAACGATCTAATCTTAAACTTTTATCTTCATAATAATTATAGGTCCGGAATTCATCTTTCCAACACAATAAGCCTTTCATCAATTGGACTTCTATAATCCAAGATATGAACTACGAACCAAACGAGTCCCGATGCTAAAAAAACTTACTTGGATGGATTTTGACTTCGACTTGTAGCCTCATTTTAACTTTCAAATCTTCCAAATTAAGCTATTGACTCTTCATAATAGTTTTAGATCGATCTGTTATCTTTCCAAAGAACCCAATATCACCTAACTCGGGATGTTTGTAGGCCAAGTTATAGTCAAAGTACGAAATGGTTGTGAAGGATGGAGGCTTAGAGGTCGGCTTGTGTGGGTGACCATGGAAGTCTGTTTGTATGGGTTTGTGACATATAGAGGGAGGTGATTGGTGCCGAGGCCTGTTATGGAGGTTGTGAGGGAGTGAGGAGAGTTGAGTGGAGCTTGGGAGGAGGAGATGGTGGGGGCTGTAACGTCAAGATTTTAGTGAGAGGGGCTATGGAGGTTTGGGCGAGAGAGAGGGAAATGGGTGAGAACTTGGTCTTTGTGTGTGTATGTGGTGGCTGAATGTGTTCTCTTCCTTCCCTTCAAGTTGATGATGAATAATAGCTTGATGAGAGGGATAGAGCGGATGTGGTGGCGTTTGTGCTTTGTGTGGGAGAAAGCTTTTTCTTTTTTTGGTGTTTGACCGTTGGTTCCTCTTTAAGTTGATGATCAATAGTGATATATACCAAAAAAATACATGGGTCTTTTAGGTTTTTGGCAAAAATCCACTTTGGTCCTTGATTTTCTTCCATGCATTTATTTGGGTTCAATTTTTTTTTTGTATTTTAATTTAAGCCTCCAATTGCCAATAATTGGGACTTTTTATTTTAATTTGTTCCAATTGTACGCTTGTTAATTTTTAAAAAAGGAATTGAAGCTTTGAATTCTTTAATTAAGCCACCAATTGTACCCTTTTTAATTTTTAAAAAAGGAATTGAAGCTTTGAATTCTTTAATTAAGCCCCCAATTATCTTTTTAATTATTTCTCACTTTTGATTTTTCTCAATTAACCCCCTTATAATTAATCTAAAATAGACTATTCTAATTTTTTTTCTTTTTCTATTTTTTATTTTGCATTTTCCTTTCATTTTTCATTTTTATATTTATTAATTTTTAAATAATAAATGAAAAATAAATAAAAGAGGAGCAAAAATTGGGTGCTAACGAGTAACTATCTATAATTCATCATAAAAACTCTTAAAGGTTTCATAAAGAATGCTTAATCATCCATTAGGTTTAGTAAAATCCTTATCCCGTCATCTCGTAGAAATTCAAGGTATTATCACATTTTTATAAATAGTATCAATCATAAAATCATGCATAAGACCAAAGAGAAAGCTTTTTAAGCATTGACCATATTCATGAAAATAGGGTCGGTTCAAGAAGTCAAAATCATAAATCAAATTATGCAAGGTAAATCAATAATGAAATAAGTAAAATAAAATGATTAAGCTAATGAATATTTAGCCATAACTCAAATTAATTCTTTATTGTTTTGGAATAAAAAGAGCTGCATCTTTATGCATAATATTTTTTACGAGCATCGAGTTCACTAGCTTAGATAGCTCATCGTCATTCATGTTCATAAAGATGAGAGCTTCACCTAAAAATCCCTTCTTCACCATATATGGACCTTTGTAATTAGTTGTCCATTTACTATGATTTGTCCTAAGATCACAAGAACTCTCCTAAACATCATGTCTCCTTCTTAAAAATTTATTGGACAAACCTTCTTATCATATGCTCATGTCATTCTTTTCGATACAATTGTGTATGATAGATGGCTATAAGTCACTTCTTGTTCTAATTGCTCATATCTAGTCTTGGCTCATTCTAACTTATCTAATTCTACTTCAATGAAAACTCTCAAGGATGGTATATCTATCTTTAAAGGCATCATCACCTTCATTCCACATACCAAAGAGTAAAGGGTTGCTCCATTTAATGTTTGAACTATTGTTTGATAAGCATGTCGTGCAAATATGAATATCTCATACCAATCTTTGTATGTGATTACCATTTATTATATGGTCTTCTTCAATTTTTTCTTTTTTTTTTTTGGTAACTTTTGCACCCTTATTCATCTTAGGCCTATATAATAAAGAGTTGTGATGCATGATCTTCTAATGTTGGCGTACTTTCATGATTATTTTGCCATTGAAATTCTAAGCATTGTTCATTATCAAGGTTTCTAGGGGCCTATATCTACAAATGATGCCTTTCTCAATAAATCGATAAACAACTCTTTAGGTAACATATGCAAAGAAAATTGCTTCTACCAATTTTGTAAAATAGTTGACTATAAATAAGATGAACTCGATACCCATTATTAACCTTTGGACTTACCAAACCAAACACATCCATGTCCTATATTACAAACCATCATAATGATGTTATATTGTGAAGAGTTGTAGAAAGAATTTTTATATTATCAGTATAAATCTAACACTTGTGACATTTAATGCACATAATCTATACGAGTCTCTTTCTATGATCGTCCGTAAGCATCAACTTCTTTGAGTCCGGTGTGCCATCATATGCTTATTGGTATGCATAGCATGAATTTTTTTATGGATTTTTTGAAGGCAATCAATGGGTAATCTTGGCTATTTATGAACTATTGGATGTTATCATATAATAGCTTTCCATTAAGCTTGTCTATAATCAAGCAATAACAAAATGCAAGAGTATTTTTAATTTTGATGCTTATTGGCTAGATCTTTATACCGAACACAATTTTAGTCATTGCAACAAGAGTAGTAAGAGTGTCAACCAAGTGATTCTTTTCCCTACTTAAGTGAGTAAGTTTGATTTCATTTAATTGATTGGCAAACTTCATTAAATATTCATGATATTGCTTCACTTTTTGTATCTTTCGTCTACTATTCTCCCTTCGCTTCAAAAATTATTAATAATGAATCACCATACAAATCCAACTTTCGAATCTTCATTTCAAGTGTTGCTCATAAGCCCTTCATACATGCTTTAGATTCTGCTATATTATTTCTACATTTAAATTGCAATTTGAAAACCATAAAAAATTGCTTTCCACTTAATGAGATAAGGAAGTAATCCGATACCACTCTTAGATACATTGACAATTCCATCAAAGCATAAGGTTCTTATATCATTGTCAAGCTCGGAATCCTTTTTAACAATCATGATTGACTCATCAAAAAATTCAAACTTTAAAGGCTCATAATCATCAATCACATTATCTACCAAGTGATTGGTTATCGCTTTCCTTTTAATAACCTTTTAAATCATGTAAATGATATCATATTCGAGATAACATGACTTATCATGTTGCAATTCAATTAGACAGGCATGGCTTCTTAAAAATATACTTGATCATATCTATCTTCAAGATCAATCATGTAGTACAATAAAGCATGTATTGTCGAAGCCTCTATGCATACCAAACTAACCCATAACACATCTTCTCAAGCATGTTGTATTAGGATTCATAGCCAATGAAATTTTTGTTCAAATAACAAATTGCTTGCTCTTTCCTACCTAACTCACGATACGAACCCAAGACTTATCCAATGATTGTATTTGTCACTTTAAGCATAAGATCAAAGGTTCCCTAGCACTAGTGACGCTAATAATTGAAGAGTTTATATGTATTACTTAATTGTGTCAAAAGCTTTTTGTCAATCTTCATCTTATATGCCTCGATTCTTCTTTTATAGTAATTGAAAAATTGATTCACAAGTCATTGTTAGTTGGGAAATAAATCAGGCTATGTAACTCAAAAGTTCTTAGAAACTTCAAACTTCCCTCTTTGTTATGGGTTTACCATGGTTACTTACCATAAATTGAAGAAACTTACATGATTTCACACTCGAATGTGCACTTTATGGGATTCAGTTTTAATCTATACTTCTTCAACCTCTTAAAAAGCATTCTCATGATCTAGACATAATCTTTGCCATCCTTTGACTTGGCAATCATATCATCCACACACACTTTAATTTCTTTATGCTTCATGTCATAGAAGATTATAACCACATCTCTTTGATAAATAGCTTTCGTGTTCTTCAAACCAAATGACATAAACTTATAATAATACATTCTCTAAGGTTTGAAAAGGTGGTTTTCTCTTTATTCTCTACAACCATCTTAATCTATTTATACCTTAAGAACCCACCCGAGTAATGAATAAATTTCATTCTTTGCTAAATTATCTTTTAGGATATCAATATGCAAGTAATGGAAAATCATCCTCCGAACTTGCCTTATTTAAATAAAAAAAGTCCACTCACATCTTTATTCTACCATCCTTTTTTTCAACAACAATTATATTTAATGCCCATTGAGGATATTCTATCACCTCTAGAGATAAAACATCTCATTGATTCCTTATTTTATCTTTTACCTTAAGTAAAATGTATAATCCCAACCTTCTTAGCTTTTTTGCTTTGCCAATTTACATATTGGCTTCAAAAGAAATCTATGCACCACTATATTAGTGTTTAGATGATGCAAGAGGATTTTAGAAGACTTAAGGTAGAAAGTTCCCACACCATTGTGGTTGAAACATTCAACCATATATCCTATTTTATTTTATTTTTCTTTTATTTATTTATTTGTTTTATATTGACTTCGGCTAATTAATTAGTCCATATGATTTTTATATTTTCAATTTATTTAAGGACATGGCCAAATATATGGCCTAAGTGGTTGAATGGATCCTTGTATGTTATGGTTCCTTATTTACTTAGAAGTCCTTATTTATTTATGATTCTATGTAGTATATAGATCTATATTTAATTGGGCTAACTTAAGTAAGTCTAAATTGAATGTGGATTACATAAGTTTAAGTATTTTAATTATTAGGGAAGTTTGACATAGGGAAGGAAATTTCAATCGTAGCCATAACTCCTAGGGTTTTAGGGAGTGGGTCTTTAAACTCACTTTATGTGTTTATTTTGTTATAAATTTTGATAAAATTTTGAGTGAAAAATTAGAGATTTTTCTCTATATATTTTTGCATATTTCCTTTGCTTGGATCATTTAGGATATCATAAAACACATTCATAGAGTGATCGACTAAGGCAGGATCTAGATCGATAACTACATCAATGGATTCTAGGTGAATGTATCATGTAATTACTCTTTAAATAATATTTGAGTGGTAACTTATCTATTAAGTGAGACATTGAGGCTTGCACTTTTATTCATTTGATTGTTAAATTGAAGATTGACTTGAATTTCAAGACTAAATAGTTTCAATATCAAAGCTAATAACCAAGGCTAGGGATTTTTTTTTTTTTTGAAATTTTGAAAATAATTTGTGAAGGGTTGATTAAAGTCATATAAAAAAATATAAAAAAATAAAATATTCAATTGAGTTTTTAGGTTCTTGAATTTGCTATAATTTTTAGAACTTATTATGTCCAAAATTTATGCTTATTTAAATAAGGATCTAGGGAACTTGTATTGACCTAAAATTTGATCATCACTTACCTCTAGATCTTATCTAAATTATGGTGAAATTTCAATTTATTATAAGTTGATTTTCTTAGGCAACACATTAACCCTAATTGGTCAGTTCTATGGTTGTTTGGTGATTTTGGGTTTTTGCTCGTATTTGTGTTTGTGGTTTTGTTTGTTAATGAATTGATTTGTGATTGATGGTTGATTTGTGGCTATAGTGTTTTGACATAGGGCTATTCTTTTGGTGCTTTTATATTTGAGCTTTCATAGGATTTGGCATCTCTCCATCCGACATTAGTTTAGTATCGAGTGGAGGTTGGATTCCATTAGTGCATTGGTCGATTATAGAATTGGAAGAAAAAAAGGATTGGATATGGTTTATGATCATGAGGAAGAATGGTTAAGGTATAATGCATTTCGTACTTAATGCACATCTTATGGGGAGGTGTGTAACGTGATCATCAATTGAGAAGTTGTAGAAACTTGGTGTTAACAATGATGGGAAAAAAGTTAAACTTACTAGTTGTTGACCATCCCAAACCTTTTTAAGTGGTTTGGTGGAATGATAGTTATGTTATTTGGGTGACCAAGAGATGCCAAATAAAGTTTTTGATAGGAAAGAAGTACCAAAAAATGTATAGTGTGACATAATCCCTATAGAGACATGCTATGTTTTATTGGAAAGACCATGCCAATACAAAAGATGAGTCATACATGATGGATTTAAGAACACATACTCATTTGATTTTAAAGGAGAAAAGATTGCCTTGATATCGATAAAGATAGAACTTTCATCTAATAAGAAAACTAACCAAAAGGAGTTAGCTTATGAGTCAATGTTCTTTAGGTTATTGAAAAAAGATGATTATTTCATGGAAGATGTTAGAGAAGTTGACCTTGTTTGTGTAAGAAAAGGGTGAATGAGCAAATTTTGTACATTTTGAAGACATTTTAAATTCCAATAGAAAGATTAGCTATGAAGTTAACTTTATGACATAATAGACAATAAAATTTTCAATAATTGAGTGGAAGATGTTGTAGCCATTAAAGAGTTAACCAAGGATGATGTTCATTGCAACTATGAATTCAATTTGGAGAATCATAGGATTGCTAGAAAATTGTTTGAAACTTTCCCACACAATATTAACATCACTTGCAAGAGAGCTATGTTGACATTAATGATGGTTATTTAAATGCGTTAGATGTTAATACCCTATCCATACATATGAATTCAAAAGCAAATTAAATTATGGAGGCCTATATAGTATAATTTATTATCATCATAAAAGGAACATTCATTTGGTGACATGGAATTACACTAGAATGAAGCTTGCAATGGTTTTAGATTTTGGTTTCAAATTCAAGTGTAAGAATACAATAATGTAGAAATAAATTATTGAGCAAGTTATATATTAATGAAAAGGAATTTAAGTCTAGTTTTAAACTCATCAAATGATGGAAGATTTGGAGCATCCTACCGAAGTTATGGCTCTTTTAATGAAAAGTGTGCAAGATGATCCTTACCAAGTGGTGGAGTTTGCTAGTCTAGGACTTGAGAAATTTGATCCTCGAGTTTACTTGGTGAAGTAAAGGAAGAAAGGAGGCTAGAACATCTTAGATAGATATCTATGAGATTAAGGAAAGAATGCCATCAATTATGGTGATCTTTTTCAGCCAAAAGGGGAAAAGAGTGTTGGTAGTTCGCCAACCTTATACCTTGGTAAGTCACATCCAAGTAATCATGATTATGGTTTGGCAATCTTATCAAAAGTTGATCATGATAGTATTTTTAAGCATGTAAAGACTAATAAAGTATAGAATCATGTTGATTTGAATATTAATCCGACATATGATATGTATGATGATGATAAATTAGATGTTCCTTATCTTGATATTGAATTAAATGGAAATATATCTATTATATATCATGATATGAGAAAGCATGGTGATATGCTTGAGGTTGGGAACGATTATGCTATGGATAAGCATAGTGAAATTCTTAAAGACTATGCTATGAATATTATGGATAGTGGTGTTCGTTCAGTAATTCGGTTCGATTTTGAAATTTTTTGACCAATTTTCGGTTAACCGAATTGTCTAAAAAAATAACCAAAACTGAACCGAGTTATTATTTTATTTTTCAGTTTGGCTTCGAAATATATCGGTTTTTTTATTCAGTAATTCAATTTTCCCCAATAATTAATACTCAATATCATATGTTGATTCGGTCAATAACTTAATTAGCATTGCATCGATTTCATGATCTAAACATTCACTCAAATATTAACCTTTTTAATGATAAGTCATAAGAACCCATAGACCTCATCCAAATTTCAAGTAGGCTACAATGCTATGTCACTATTCTCTACACTTCAATAATGAAAAAGCAAGAATGTCAAACAACAATTCAATTTCAAGTATTCAACAAAATAAAAAGTTAAAAACAATAATGCAACATTCCTAAATTACCAAGTAACACCAGTAATTAAACAAAGTAAAAGCAACAAACCAACAACAAGAAAGCAACGATAAGAAGTCAACAATACAAAATGAAGTCACCGATAACTTGCTAAGTAAAATAATTTAAAAACTCCCACAAGTCACAACCACCACAATCCATAATCACAAATAGACAAGTTCAAGCAAAAGGTTCACCAAATGACAAATCCTATAAAGAAAAGAAAAAAATGTCAATTTTATAAAACATAAAGACATTTACAAACATACATGGATATACACAAAGATAATTCATTAGAAATTTACCCATGTCACTCAAAGCATCAAACCACCATCCATTCATCATATATCTATCATAGGTGCATCCGTTGAAAGTTTTAATAAATTTGAAAAAAAATCAACACATTAAGTCTTTAATATTAATTTAGAAGGAAAAAAGACAAATGAAAATATAAGAATTGAAAAGCTTACCAACTTCAAGTTTCTCAACATCATGCAAATCTTCTTCAATAGTAATTGGCATCAAATTTTGAAGCTAATCTTGAGCACATATAAGAGCTTGCATAACGCTAGGAGTTAAAGAACTCCTAAAGGCATCGATAACTCTTCCTTCGATGCTAAATGTCGATTCTAAAGGAACGATAGACATTGGAACTGCCAACACATCATGAACCATTTGTGAAATGGTAGGAAAATAAAGAGAATTGTTTTTCCACCACTCCAAAATATCAAAATTTGTATCCCTAATTTCAACGGATTCATAAAGATACTTATCCAACTCGATCTTTTATCTCCATCTTCACTTTCATTGAATTTTTAAAATCATGATATCCTTTCAAGTGTCTTGTTTTTTTTTCTTCATGACATCCGTTACATCACTTACACTTGAAACTTCCATAACCCCACTACTTTGACCACTAAGACCTTGATTTGGTGATAAATTGCAATATGAAGCATATAAGGCATATGTAGATTCTCTCACATCATTTTTCATCTTTTCTCCAAGCCAATCACCATGCAATTAATTTAATGTAAATGCAATATAAACAAGTTTATGTGTTGGATCAAGCACGGCTCCAACATAAATCAACTTATTCATTTTCTTCATATCCCCCCAATACTTATCAAACTTTTCTCTCATTTTACTAGCCATTGAACAAGTATCATCATCGACACACTCTTGCCATTCTCTCAAATCAACTGCAAGCGTATAAATTATAACAAAATAATTATTAGAAGTGACATATGAATGGCCCAAAATAGACAAAGTAAGGTCATAGAAGTTTTTCAATATTGTTACCATCTTCCTACAAGTTCTCCAATCTCCGACACTAGGTGGCCCAAATACATCATCACCAAGATCCACATTAAGTTCAATAATATATAAATGATCAATTTGCTCATATCTCTTAAAAGCTTTCTCAAAATTTTGAGCTGAATCTAACATCAAATATGTTGAATTCCATCTAGTTGAAACATCTAGATGTAATAAACTTTTGGAATCAATCTTGTCAATCTCTATGCATTCCTTAAATTTTTTTAACCTAGCAAGAGATTATCTAATATACCTCATAATTGCTCGAACATGAAGGATAGAAGGTTTGCATTTTTTAACCCATCGAAACAACAAGATTCAA